ATCTTTGAGCACCTTCCTTCCCGAACCCTGCACGACGTGCTCTCACTTGCCAGTCATTGCGTTATCTTGCGCAACCTCGCTTATTTCACTCGCTGACATTCTTACCTACTCTCTGGAGCACCAACGGCCAGCGCGTATTCACCGCCTCGAAATTGTAGAGCGTACAAAACAACGCATACAATGTTGTTCCTCACCCACGCATCGCTCACGCTGTTCGGGAATGCAAATTTTACCCCCGATATATTGTTGGTGCCGTGCCCAACACGGAGATTGCATATAATGTGCTTCTGGATATACTACTCGATACCACCTACCGCTTTTCGTCAATCTCCAATCGCTATCATCATGTTCGTGGACCCAGACCAGTCCAGGTATTGAAACTATGTGCGCTACGATGCCTTGGGAACCTTTCCTTGGGCAACGTATAGTGGAACATGTCCAATCGCTTTCACCTCCCAAATTACAGGTTGCTGACCTGACCATCACCTGCGATAGCAAATATATGCTTGGGAATGGTCAGAACGGTTATGGACTATCTGTCTTCTCACCCGAGCACATACGTTCCGTCTCTGTAATCAACCCGGTGGCAGCTTCACAATTCCTAAAAAAATTTATAGGGAACGCATCGCAAGGCCTGCAACAACTTCGATGCCTCACATTACCATGCAATTTAGAAGTCGTGGCGCGCTTTCCATCCTTTACTTCATCTCATCCCAGAACTAGCCGAACTCAAATTCGTCCGCCCCCCTCTAATCCAATCCAACCTCCCCGAAGATGAAAACTTCACACCCTGTCCACGCATTCCAATCCACTCAAACCCCTCTCGAAATACCAAGGCCCTCGTCAACTTTTACCCCACTTTGTCCGCCCTGGTGCGCTCGAACATCTTAACTTGTGGAGAACACGCGTCTTGTCCACTGATGGTTCAATGGATCCCATGGAACTGTACGGAGCACTTGTGGGAGGCGATGAACTCGTGAGCGTATGCGATCCGGAGGTCCTCAGGACTGTACAGATCCTGGAGTTGAGCGTGACGCCATGTCAATGCCCTCATGCTCGATGCTATCTGCGCCCGCTTCCCAATGCTGCGATCGTTATACGTGTGTGCGGCAAGGGACTTCTTTCCTGATGCTGCTACGCAAGCATGGGACCTTGAGGTACATGTCGAATCGTTCCTTCTCTGTTTTCGGGCTAATTGTGTGTTCTAGATGATAATGAACGCTCTTTTGACCCTCCCCCTTCCCTCTACCATTCAGCGTTTGCGACTCTCTTCGTATTCAGTTGTGTCACGCAGTGGACTCGTGACGGAAGACCGCCTTGCAAGACGCAAACGGGACCTTGGGGTAAATATCCTAATTTAACTTTTGTTTCTCTGGATGAATCGGACATTAACCTAACATGGGATAGGAATGGAGTGCTCCGTTCTTGAGATTTAAGGATTCTTTCAATACACACCCTACGTTTGATTGACCTATAAGTATCTATGCATAATCCTATACTACTTGTTCCGGGTTGCCGTAGACTAACGTCTGCGAATAGGATGTTATTTCTCAATCATTCCCTTCATCCATCCTGCTATTCCGGTACTCATTAACAATTTACTAGCAAGCGCTGTCAAGTGATCACTCTCCAGGTAAGCCCACCATCACTCCTTCTCGTCCTTGCAGTTTGTTCCACAAAATCCTCATCGACTGTGCCAGAATATGGACGGAAAAGATGTCGAAATGGGATAGGCGGGCGTGGATGCTGACCCCGTGACACGAATGAGTTCAGGTGCACACTATATGGTTGAGCCATACCTGGAAATCAGAGGTTCCTGTAGCGATGACAGGTCACACCGTGCATCGAATGCTGCCAGGTCTTGATCCTGCAACCCTTGAGTTATGTTTCGCCTAGCAAAAACTGAATACTCGTCCTATAATCGCATGTTGCTTTATCATGATTCGTGCGATCAAGGTGTCAACACGATCCTCATTTTTTTTGACAAGTAAGTCGAGAAGTTGCAATACAGATCGGTAAACGTTGCCTCTGTCGCAGGAAAAGGTAGGGAGACTATACGTCCCAGTTGATCCAAGCGAGAACATTGCTACTAGTTCAAGTGTCAGCGATCATTGCAATGTCCTCCCGACTGCCTTTAAATCTGTGGGATATCAGTTGATGATATATTCGTTGCCTGTCAAAGAGAATAAGATACCTCAGTGGCAGCGACGAGTAGACGAAACGTCCATTCAATGAGCTCTGTATCCTAGAGAAATATTATAAATATCAGAAGACGGGGAGAAACAACAAGTACCTCATTCAAATATCGCCGGAAGAGATCCTTACCAACAACATTCCACACAGCCTCGGTACTTTCCAGTGCGCGTCAGGGATGGGCTGTATATATTTTGGATCGAGGAAAACGTGAGTATAATCTGACCAGTATGTGATATTTTGGTGCGTGCGTTCCAGATCGCCGTTTTCTTCTATTTCGCCTTCAAAACGAGGGTGGTATTCACTTTGAGGGATCTGATTTTGTGTCTCGCAAGTTAGCTTTCCTCGCCTACAAAGTATCAGTCCGCACGACGAACAGCTTTTACAATCACACTGACCAGGTTGTGTCAGGTGAAGCATCGGTAGCTGTATCAGCTTGGCTCTTTTTTGCGAGTGTCCCGAGGTTTGCGGGTCGGGTGCAGCTCAGACGACAGGAGGTGGACGGAGATGGAGACGGGCTGTTCGCGCAGGCGTCCCCAGAAATATGGACCAATATTAATGACGCGTGTTACTTAGTATATGACTGCATTCAATATTCATTTCATATGGTGAGGCACTCATAATTTCATGCCGATTACTCATACTTGTGAAGGGTTTGGCGATCTCCCAGTATCTCCTCGACTCATCCTCAAGCCTACCTCCCGTTAACTTTATAGCGAAGTTGTGATTTTTCTCTGCGATGGACGCATTCACTGATGAGCCCGTCGTCAAGCTTTCTGGCACATCTTGCGGTTGGTGCACGTGCAGCTGGACGTTGGAATGGTTGACAGTATTCCGGACGGATGGATTCTAGGCAGCGAGTAAAGCTCTGCACGTTGTGAGATTAGCTTAGGAGGTCTAACAGGTGCGAAGGCACATACATATGCCGTACCAGTCATGCTAGACGCGGTTGTGGAAGTAGGCCCTGGTGATCCTTACCAACGTGTAAGTGAATTTTATTCGCTGGTGTTTGAACCATTTAAACTGTCCAAGTTCAAACATGGAACCGATCGAATGGACCATCTCAAGACGGAAGGTTTCTTCTGTGTTCCTGTCAAGACAAGCCTGCTGATGAACATTGAAAGAGACTGACATTAGTGGGGTAAAAACATTGACTGCACGGGAGGAGCAGGGTGCAGGTCATATTGGTCCAAGGCACCCTCGGCCGCAATACTCTCTGCCTACTTAGCATGACTGCGCGCGTAGGACTGATGGGAACGCCAGTAAGGACTGTTCTAATTTGATTGTGTACATCGTACGATGAGCTAGTAGCGGAGATGTTAGACCGGGACGGATGGGCTAGATGTCAATATCCTACAATTGAAACTTTCTGTCTGGAATGCCTAGAAGTTCACCCAATCAGACGAAGACCAGCTATGGGCAATATTTCTGAGTCCCGTAACGTCTAACCTACAGCGTGTAATTTGCCTGTGTCGAAACTGGGACTGTAAGCGTATTCCCGCGTGTCGAGCTAATGAAGTTTATTTTCTCTCTACACTGTTGATGTCGACGTAGTTGACATGTAGTTCATCACTAGGTAAGGCCACACCATGTATCCAGACATATGTCTAGACCGAATGTCGTGCCAAGTGGTGGTCGGACATGCATGAGTATGTGGATGATACTGTCCAAGCTTGGTTACACAGAACGGCTTTATCGCGATCAACGGAACGCTTCGCAGTACCGAGACATCTCAACACCAGAAGAGCGAGCGAAAGACAATGCACCGGGCTTCTGTGATCGTGTTGTCACAGCCTCGATAGCATCAGATGCAAGACATGAGCTGCGGACGATGTGTAGAACGAATTTCTCAAGCGTGAGGTATGCAGTATTTTCGATTTCATGACATGGCGATATTCAGTATCGTTGCTCTTTGGTAAGTGACGGGAGAAAGAGAGTACATGCCTCTGATATCTATTTGATGGTTACAGGGTAGTCCACTTGGTGCATACCAGATTTCTCGTAGAATGTGATGTTCGTGATCACCTTCTGCTTTGCAAGGCGTTCGGGGGGATTGACACCGATCAGCATGGGCATCGCAAGATCTTTGACGTACACCCTTGCAGCCTGCTGTAAACTGTCTTTGCCTCTGGATGAAATGACCTCAATCTCAAAGTCGTTCGCAAATAAAATCTGCTTCGGAAGGCCGTGATAACGCGCACGGGGTCCACATTCTCTCCAGCCAGAGCGAACGCTTTCTGAGTGACCTCATGCACGAGTGCACAAACATTGGTATAAGATGCCGAGAGCGCCGAGATGGCTTTGAGCCTTTGTGAGATGCCCATAGTGGATGGAGTCTACGACGTTGTCGGATTGGCCAGATATTTCAAGGAAGGAGGGTTTAAGATGGAGGTGAACGGCGATGGAAACGATTTGTTCGCGCGGGCGTCCCCAGCAATCTGCGCCGATGTTTGCTATAAGCTGGATGGTGTCGACGAGTTGGGAATATCATAATAGTCACACACCTGCCACTCGGGAAATTCCGTCAAAAGTTCGACGAAATTTGATTCTCGGATCCCGTTCCAGTTCTTGCACTGATCACCATGACGTCGTCTCCCTTTCAATTTGTCCTGACGCCATCCAGAGTCGATGTCCATCTTCAATTGGGAGTACTTGTGGTATGTCCCTATTGATTCAACGATCACTGCGCCCTCAGACACGCATCTCTGCGGTGCCAGGTGAATCCGGCAGCCGTCACAACTTCCTTCATACTTCGCCGAACAAGCACACAATTGGCTGCGTCCTCGCTTTTGAAGTTGATATTTTTTTTATTCTTATCGCTTGGTGCAGGGAAGATCATGCACTATCAGCTCAATCACACGAGTCGTGCAGAATCATTCAGTTTTTCTTCACGCATCGTCTTCAGCTACTTGAAAATAGTTTGCATTTGCCATTCTCTACGAAATACACACTTTGCCCTCGTGTGCTAACTGAGTATTACGACTCCATTATACAAGTCCAGAAGCAGCGATCAACACAAGTCACTCTGAGTCTCGCATGTCCACTTCAACCTTGGCGGGCCATTTTCACTGAAAACTGATCATGGATTGTCTACTTCTATAACACAAATTCTTCCGCTAATCCTGGTTGGTGATCTTGATTCCCAGCACTTGGTGCAATCAGACCAGCGTCTATCATGCCGAACGGCCCTCGAGAATATGGAAACACACGTGCAGCATGACCTGAATCTTCTTCTCACCCTCTCAGCTGAACTCCATCAATAGTCCCCATATCCCTACCCCCATCTTCCCGTCCCACTAATTCCGTCCACCACTCAGCCCATCCTCGATCCTCGTCATTTTGCACCATCATGCCTGGTAGCTCAGAAAACCGATACATCAGACTTAAAGGTGAGTCCCTCCACATTACCTTCGTATCCGTCTCATCATCCTCACTCTACCTACAGTCATCAACGGAAAGAATCTTCGGGTCCCTTCCGAGCGCATTCCCCCTGGCATTTACGTGTCCATCAGTGTTGACTCGAGACGCTGGAAGTCCACCATCAGTGTCTTATCATCCGAAGAATCAGCAGCGTGGGGGGATATTGTGACTCTGTAAGGTCCATGGAGACTTTCTGACGCGATGCGAGAACTGATCATCGACCCATAGATCATCACATGCATCACCTGCATTATCAGTGGAAATCAGGGCGTCCTATGAGGCCGATCGAATGCTCGGCAGTGGAGAAGCCATCGGGAAACTTAAAATGTCATGGGATGAGCTACTCGATCATGGAGGCGAGCCATTCGGTGAGTGCCTTGCTCCTCATTCATGCGCATATACTAACATCTCGTAGATCTAACCTTCCCACCCGTACGTGATGTCCACCCTTCCCTCATACTGAAGGCAACCGTTGTACATGCTTGTGACAATCAAAACGACGCACTGTCTGATGTGAGTGATGCCAAACTCCGTAATGTAAACTTTGCTGACGGAACACCGACTGCAGTCCTTTGTAGACTGTCAAATTGCTCGAGACACAGATGCGGGCCACGCACGACTTGCGAAATACGTGACACACGAAACGGTCTCTCACCTAATCCATGCTATGCAGCGTTTTCAGTTGGTTCTGGACCAGTGTCCTGTCAGCCATCCAGACCACGCAGCAGCTCTCACCAACCTTGCGTGGGCTCGCCTTAAAGGTTACATCCGAAATGATCTCCAAGACATTGATACCACCACTTCCCTCTTCCGCGACGCCCTTGCATTGCGTCCGCAGCACCACCCCGATCATCCCTTATCTCTGTGTAATCTCACCCTAGTGCTGACTTGGCGCCACAGCAAGAAAAGTACTGCTGCCGACATCCGTGAAGCCGTCCAACTCTATCATGAGCTATTACCCTCTTTGTCCAGAGGGCACCTACCTTCGTAGCATCATGGCAGGGGAAAATGGTGTCGATTATGTGATTGACGGATGCAACGATCTTCCAATCGACGCATCTGATGAAGGCATCTGCCTTCGAAGAGTCGTCCTCGAGCTCTGCCCTCTGGACCATCAACTTCGTCATTTTGCCCTTCACTGGCTTGCACATGCAATAGAGGCCCGCTTCCAACAGTGTGGCGACATTGATGATATAGACGAGACTATACAACTTCGTCGTGAAGCCGTGTCGCTGTGCCCCGAGGGACATGCTGACCGTACTAGCCACCTGAACAACTTGGCCGTTTCACTCAAGTTCCGCTTCGATCACCAAGGCAAACCTAATGACCTTGATGAGGCCATCTCTTTACACGAAGAAGTGCTGCGCCTGTGGCCTGTTGGGCATGAATCTCGTGATTGCTCATTGGGCAACCTAGGGGGCGCCCTCATCATCCGTTTCAAAGAACGCGGCGACATTGATGACATCACCCGAGCTGTCAGCCTCTATCGCGAAGCACTGACATTGTGCCCACCTGGGTATCCACGTCGTGACACCACACTTAACAACCTTGCCCTCGCACTCGAAACCAGGTATGACAAACTGGATGTCAGCGAGGATCTTAACGAGGCCATTGATCGGTATCGTGAATCCCTTCGGTTAAAGCGGCTTGACAATCCAGAGCGCCATGTTACTCTTCGCAATTTGAGCTCGGCGCTCTGCTCTCGTTTCACGCAAACTCAGAAGAACGAAGATGTCGAGGAGGCCATTACTCTTTGCCAAGAATCATTGGCGATTCTGTCTTCACTGCACCCAGCCATGTGTTTCAGCTATATGCTGCTGCAGGAGGCCTATTTGTCTCGTTACCGGATTCTACACGACCCTGCTGATTTGTCGCTCGCTATAGAGAACTTCAGACTCGCTTCAAAATATCCTACTCAGGGATTTTCAGAACGCATCAGGGAGGCTATCCACTGGGCTTGCCAAGCAGAAATCTATCAACATGAATCTGCCCTTGAAGCATACCAAATGTGCTTTGAGCTTTTCAACAGCCAAGTAATGACGCGATCGTCGATCATCTCACGGCGTGAGGCTGCAACCGCTTTTCGTGGTGCACAATCACTTCCTGTAGATGCAGCCTCGTATGCCATACGTAGTGGTGATCTACGACAGGCAGTCGAACTCGCAGAGCAAGGCCGTGGCCAGCAATGGTCACTGGCATCTCGATTCAGGACTTCAGTTGAAGACATCGAATCAGCAAATCCGAAACTGGCACGCAATTATTTGGAGCTGAGCAAGCTCGTTTCCAATGCCGCCCAGAGTTCTGCAACCATCACCGACAGAGCTGTTGCTGATATGGCAGCAACCGAGTATAGGAGACTTATGAGGCAATGGGAAGCTTCAGTAGCTGAGATACGCGATCTTCGGGCGTTCTCGCGGTTCCTGCTCCCACCTTTGTACGCAGACCTGCAAGCGGCAGCGCGCCAGGGCCCGGTCATCATTCTCATTGCAAGTCAATACTCATGCAGCGCCATCATCGTCCCGACGTCAGGAGACCCCCATCATGTTCCCTTGCCGTCTGTCTGTCTCGCAGAGCTGACCAATCTCAAGGATCGCTTCGCCAGGGCAATACGAGACGCATCTAAAATGGGCCCAAAAGTGTCGCGGAACGATCCAGTAGTCCTCTTGCGGACAGTATGGGACGCGATCATGCTACCCATCGTCAATGTCCTCCAGCATGATCTAAAATTAAAATTCAACTCTCGAATCTGGTTGTGTCCAACTGCAGCTTTCACGTCCATTCCTCTCCATGCAGCTCACCCCTTTAAAACAAACGCAGATCGCTCTAAGGAGCCATGTCTGGAAGATCTCTACATCTGCTCTTACACGCCAACACTTTCGGCTCTGGTCAGGTCTAGACAGTTGATGAAGAAACGTATCACTCCGTCATTCGTGACAATCGGACAGGGTCAACCAGGTGCAGGGAAAGGAAAGGCACTGTTAGCTGTCGATAGCGAGCTCGAGCTTGTCCATAAGCTCGTCCCCGCGACTGTCAACTGCACCATTATTTCTGGGGACGCAGCTACACGAGCAGGTGCACTCGAAGCTTTGCAGCAGAACACATGGGTGCACCTCGCTTGTCATGGCAAGCAAGACCGTACGCAGCCTTACAATTCGCATTTCGTCATGAGAGATGAACATCTTACGCTGCTCGATATCATGGAGAGAGATATTCCGCGCGCCGAGTTCGCGTTCTTATCTGCTTGTCATACTGCCGTCGGTGATGAAGAGACGCCCGACGAAGTGATTCACCTTGCAGCGGGTCTCCAGTTTTCGGGGTTCAAGAGCGTCGTTGGAACTCTATGGGAGGTCGATGATTCTGTCGCAAAACACATTGTCGAAGCTTTCTATAAGAATATGTTCAAAGATTTGGAGGATGGTGGTGTCATTGACTGTACGAAGGCGGCCTGGGCACTGAACCGTGCTACGCACTCTGTGAAGACGAAAGTGTCGCTCGAGCAGAGGATGGTTTTCGTTCATATCGGTGTGTAGTTCTATGTCGTATTACTGTTGTCTGGTACGTATTCAGTAGTTGTTGATCTGCGATTCTCTTTTTCTCTTTCATCCTGTTGTACAAATGACCCTGATATATTCTTGTGCTCTAGCTATCTCGTTTGTGTATACTCTGTCTCGTGTTCTTGTCGACTAGAATGTTCATCAAAGTGCTTGCGTACTCGACTCGCTGTGGCCTCGTCTTCTGCTTGAGTACTTGGGTAGTATGAGCCGGGCCGGTCAAGCCGACTCCCGCCTCCCAGTACTGTCACCATACCATCCATCCTTCCAGCTTCCAACGTTCAAGTCCGAAGTTCTGCATCATGAAACCTCGACTGACCACCGCCAGTGTAATCAATGCCAAGTCAGAACCAGGGCTCAATCCAAGATAATCCAACTCATCCGTGCAAACATGCACACCTATCGAAGTAGCCAGTAGTTTCGTCAATCCCGGATAACTATGGCCTATCTATGCACTGCTCACTACTAGGTACATCAGCTTCGACCTAAACTGCCAATCAGGCGTGTACTTAGTACTGGTCGTGGAATTGTCTTTAGTTTTTCGCCACGAATTACTGACAAACGCCTTGAAATCTGCCTTACGACCGTCAACCAAGGCTTTGTCAGGAGGCCCTAGAAAGCGTTATTTGAGCCGTATCGGTATCATTATTGTTCACTTATGTCGAAGAGGTGAATGAATGCATATTTAGAGCATCGAGCAGCGGACGCAGAGTTGGCCATGGAGGCAAGACATTGACAAACGGCCGCATCAGCGAAGGAATAACTGTTGTAACGGACATTAGTAACGAAGATGGGCTCCTCGGGGTCTTGCATAGGCTTGAAGGAGCAATTGGCAATTGCTCGTACCTTGAAGTGACGCAACTTCTGGGAAACAAAAAATTTCGGACGAGTACCAGGGGACTGGTCACTCGTCGCTAGCTGAGTTTCCCGCGAGATGACTGGCAGGGATCAGTTCTGCCTAAACCATTCTGCCAAACAAAATTCTGGGAAGTATAAGAGCGAGCCATCTTCCTACCACCCACTTCACCCCAAAGAGAATTTTGGAGCACCTCAGCGGTTCATACCACCTCGCACAAACAAACAATGCGCTTCTCCTTCCTCGCCGTTATTGTTGCGCTAACAACATCTATAACATTTGTCAGTGCGTGTACGCCAGTGGAAGCGTCTTGTGTACATGACAGTGACTGCTGCAATAAAGAGGATAGATGCGTTCCAGTTGTAAGTTTGCTTTGCATCAAATTTTCACTTGATGGCTCACCCTTTTGGCCTCATAACATCAGTTGGATGGTGCTCATATATGCTATCATAATGGTGATTAGCCCAAAAGAGGACGCCGTTAAATTTGCACGTAGCAACACACTGGTGGGTCATGTTTCCACTTTCCCATCGGTATGATTGCTGATGGAATAATATGCAGTTCGCTGCTGATTGAGAAATGGATAGAGGCAATGCCGCAAAGTGAATGGAGTATTTGCGTACTTGTTGGTTTTGGTGTAAATGGAACCTAGGATTGTAATCCGAAATAGTTTGACCACATGGCCAGCACACCATCTTCGATCCAGCCACAAACATGAAAGACCGGAAGAAAGACGATCAACGGTTACAAGATCATCGTCTTGTAAGGCTGGCAATGGGTTCGCCAATCGATACAAATAGGCAGAGTAAACACGTTTGAACGCACTGAGTTGTAATTGCGATTTGTGACGACAACTTTCTGAGGATATCAGACTTGATTGGAGCGGGGAAAAGATCGTGCTATTGAATCCGAGGGTGCATGGCCGGAATATATACATCTGCGAGTGGCTCAATGGCCAAACTGAGGATGGATACCTGATGACGGGGTTCAATTGGATGTATCATTCACGGTGTTTGAAATGTGATACATCTTTACCAGTGAGTCACCCATGCAGTCTCGATGTGCTCCGATTACAGATGATTCCCAGTCCGTGGTGTTCAGAATGGCTTATGTCGAAATATTGGTAACCATTCTATGGTAAGTTGGTAACTGGTGAGCGTTAGCCTGGGACGGCGCGGCCGAGTACTGTGATCTTGCGTTTGCTGTATCTTACGGTTGGTGCGCGTGCAGGAATCGCAGCTGCCAGTGGACGTGGGAATGGCTGTCATTATTCCGGACGAATAGATTCGAAGCAGTGAGTACAGCTCTGCACGTTGTGATATTAGCTTAGGAGGTCTAACAGGTGCGAAGGCACATACATATTCCGTACCAGTCATGCTAGACGCGGTTGTGGAGGTAGGCCCTGGGGATCCTTACCAATATGTAAGTGAATTTTATTCGCTGGTGTTTGGACCAAACCGTCCAAGTTCAGAACACGGAAACAGTCGAATGGACCATCTCAACATGGAAGGTGTCGTCCATGCTGCTCAAGACCAGCCCGCTGGTAAACATTGAAGGTGAACATTGAAATAGTTTGCGACGCCACGGAGTAAAAACGTTTATTGCGCGGGATATCAATATCAGTGAGGAGGCCTGCAGGGCCCAGGTCGTATTGGTCCAAGACACCCTCGACCGCAATACTCTCCGCCTACATAGCATGACTGCGCGCACAGACCCGATGGAAACACTAGTACTGTTATAATTTGATTCGGTGCACGGTACAATTACCACAGCTAGCGGAAATGTTAGATGAACTAGATATCGATATCCTGGGATTGGAACTTGCTGCCGGGAATGCCTAGAAGTTGATCCAATCAGACAAAGACCAGCGGCTGTGGGCAATATTCTCGAGTCCCACGATATCTAACATACGGCGTGTAGTATACCTCTGTCGAAACTGGGAGTGCGAGCGTATTTCCGCTTGTCAAGCCAATGAAATTGATTGTCTCTCTATACGGTTGATGTCGACATAGCTGACATATAGTCCATCACTAGGTAAAGCCACGCTATACACGCCTAGACAGGATGTCGTGCCAAGGGTTGGTCGCATGAGTATGTAAGTAATGCTATCTGAGCTTGGTGACACGCATTTCCTATACGATGTTATCGCAATCATCGGAACGCATCGCGGTACCGAGTCTTTTCGACACCAGAAGAGTGAGCGAAAGACAGTGCACTGGGCTTCTGTGACCGTGTCGTCACGCTTTCAATAGCATCAGATGCAAGACATGAGCTGCGGACAATGTGTAGGACGAATTTCTCTAGCGTGAGGTATGTCGTATTGTCGAGTTCCTGACATGGTGATATTCAGTATCGCCGCTCTTCAGCAAGCGACGGGAGAAAGAGAGTGCGTGCCTCTGATATCCGTTTGATGATTGCACGGTAGTCCGTTGGATGCATACCAGATGTCTTGTAGAATGTGATGTTCGTGATCACCTTCTACTTTGCAAGGCGTTCGGGGGTATTGACGCCAATCAGCATGGGCATCACAAGGTCTTTGACAGACACCCTTGCAGCCTGTTGCAAACTGTATTTGCCTCCGGGTGTAATTACCTCAACCTCAATGTCGTTAGCAAGTAAAATCTGTTTCGGAAGGCCGATGACGACGCGCACGGCGTCCACATTCTCTGCAGCCAGAGCGAACACTTTTCGAGTGACCTCATGCACGAGTGCACGAACATCGGTATAAGATGCCGAGAGCGCTGAGACGGCTTTGGTGAGATGCCCATAGTGAATGGAGTCTACGACGTTGTTGGATTGGCCAGATATTTCAAGGAAGGAGGGTTTGAGATGAAGGTGGACGGTAATGGAGATGTGCTATTCGCGGAAGCATCTGGGCCCCTGTTTGCCGTAAGCTGGATGGTATCGACGAGCTCGAGTGTGACATCAGGCAAGGACATCGAGATAGTCACATGGCAGCTGCCGCTCGGGAAATTCCGTCAAAAGTTCGAAGAATTTGTTTTTCGGATCCCAGCAAGATCCCGGTCCAGTTTTTTCCTGCCATCATCCTCAAATACTCTGATCACCATGACATCATGCATCTTCAATAGATACGCCCCATATTTGGTGTGGTATGTCTCTTTACCCTTTTTCTGTTACAATTGATTCAACGATCACTCTGCACCTCCATCGCCCCTACCTCCCAACCCCTCTCCCTTGTCAAAGCTCATACTCTTCAGACATTTGGACGTTTACCGCAATGGTCCGCTCTTGTAACCCCGGCCATTTTTCCAGTCTCAAGGCACACCAGCCTGATCATGTCCTCTGCCAACATGCCGTTAATATGCTCCCATCACCTTCAAGGCTTCCATACGCAACGGACCTGCTGGCCTGTTGATGAAGTTCATGCAGTGCCACCTATAGTGGATATTCCTCTCCCGCAGGGTCAATTGGCTCAGTTCGATATCTCTCTCCGCAACTGTAACTTCCTGATCGTCAATCATCCTTCACCGAATGAACACACAATTGGTTGCGTCCTCGCTTTTGAACTTGATATTCTTTTGATTCTTAGCCCTCAGTGCAGGGAAGATCATGCACTGTCAGCTCAGTCGGACGAGTCATATAGAACCATTCGGCTTGTCTTTGCGTGCCATCTTAAGCGGTTTGAACATTGCTTGCATTTACCATTACCTTGCGAAATACACTTCGTTCTACACTTTGGCCCTGTGTGCTAACTGAGTAATATGACTCCATGATACAAGTCCAGGAGCAGCAATCAACACAAGTCACTTTGAGTCTCGCATGTCCCTTTCAACATTGACGGGCTACTTTCACTGAAAACTGATCATTATGTTGTCTACTTCTATAGCACAGATTCTTCCCTTGGTGATCTCGATTCCTGGCGCTTGATGCAATTATACCAGCGTCTATCGTGCCGAACGGACCTCGGCAATATGGAAATACACGTGCAGCATGACCTGAGGCCTGAACCCTTAATCTCCCACTCATCCATCCACATTCCACTCACCCTCCGCCTTCTCCTACCACTCATTCTGAACCCTCTCAATTTCCAATGCTGCGTGTCGTTCGTCCTTTGTTTCTCCCTACAATCACGCGTAGTAGCCTAGAAGAACAACATATTAGACTTGAAAGTAGGTCACTCCAGACTACTTTTGTATCCGGTTCGTGATCCTTGCGCTCTATTTACAGTCGTCAGCGGAAAAAATCTTCAAGTCCCTTCTCAGCGCATTCCCGCTGGCATTTCCGTGTCCATCAATGTCGACTCGAAGAGACGCTGGAAATCGGCCCTCAAAGTTCTGTCATCCGAACAATCAGCAGTGTGGGGCGATACTGTCACCTTGTAAAGTCGTCTGTAACTTCGGGCACGATTCGAGAACTGATCTTCGATTTACAGGTCATCGCGAGCGTCACGTACATTCTCAGTAGAGATCAGGGCATCCTATGAGGTCGATCAAATGCTAGGCAGTGGAGAGGTCATCGGGAAACTTAAAATGTCGTGGGATAAGTTACTCGATCATGGAGATGAATCATTCGGTGAGTGACTTGCTCCTCATTCATGAACATATACTAACATTTCATAGATCTATCCTTCCCACCCGCGCGCGGTGTCCACCCTTCCCTCACCCTGAAGGTTGCCATTGTACATGCTTGCGACGATCAAAACGGCGCACTGTCTGATGTGAGTGACGCTGGTCTCTGTCCTGTTAGCTTTTACTGACAGAATGCCGACTGCAGTCCCTCGTAGACTGCGAGATTACTCGAGGCACAGATGCGGGCCATGCACGACTTGCCAAATACGTGACACGCAAGAGGGTCTCTCACCTGAACCATGCTGTGCAGTATTTTCAGTTGGTTCTGGATCGGTGTCCGGTCAGCCATCCAGACCACGCGACAGCTCTGACCAACCTTGCGTATGCGCGCCTTCAAGGATACATTCGCAACCATCTTGAAGACATTGATGCCATCACTTCTCTCTTCCGCGACGCCCTTGCATTGCGTCCACAGTGCCATCCCGATCATCCATTATCTCTATATAACCTCACCGAAGCGCTGACTTGGCGCCACAAGAAGAAAAGTACTGCTGCTGACATCCGTGAAGCCGCCCAACTCTATCATGAGCTACTACCTCTCTGTCCAGAGGGCGCCTACCTTCGTAGCATCGCAGCAGGTGCAAATGGTGTCGATTATGTGATTGACGGATGCAACGATCTTCCAATCGACACATCTGATGAAGGCATCCGCCTTCGAAGAGTCGTCCTCGAGCTCTGTCCTCTGGACCATCAACTCCGTCGCGGTGCCCTTCACTGGCTTGCAGAGGCAATGGAGGCCCGCTTTGAACAGTGTGGCAGCGTTGATGATATAGACGAGACTATACAACTTCGTCGTGAAGTCGTGTCGCTGTGCCCTAAGGGACATGCTGACTGTAATAGCCACCTGAACGACTTGGCGTTATCACTCAAGTCCCGCTTCGATCACCAAGGTAAACCTAATGACCTCGATGAGGCCATCTCTTTGCACGAAGAAGTGCTGCGCCTGTGCCCTGTTGGGTATGAATATCGTGATTTCCCATTGGACAACCTAGGGAGCGCCCTCCTCGCCCGTTTCGGAAAACGCGGCGACATTGATGACATCACCCGAGCTGTCAACCTCTATTGTGAGGCACTGACGTTGCGCCCACCTGGGCATCCAAGTCGTGACACCACACTTAACAACCTTGCTCTCGCACTCAAAACCAGATATGACAAATTGGATGTCAGCGAGGATCTTAACGAGGCCATTGATCGGTATCATGAATCCCTTCGGTTAAAGCGGCTTAATGATCCAGAGTGCCATGTCACTCATCGCAATTTGAGCTTGGCACTCTGCTCTCGTTTCATGCTAACTCAGAAGAATGAAGATGTCGAGGAGGCCATCACTCTTTGCCAAGAATCATTGGCATCTCTGCCTCCATTGCACCCAGGTATATGCATGAGTCATGCATGGCTACAGAGGGCTTATCTGTCTCGTTACCACATACAATGCAATCCCACTGATTTGTCATCTGCAATGGAGCACTTCAGACAGTCGTCAATACACCCTACTGCAGGTTTTCCTCAACGTATCCTGGTAGCTATTGACTGGGCTCGCAAAGCAGAATTCTACCAACATGAATCTGCCCTTGAAGCATACCAAATGTGCTTTGAGCTCTTTGATAGCCACGTAATGACACGATCGTCAATCATCTCACGGCGTGAGGCTGCAACCGCCTTTTGTGGTGCACAGTCACTTCCTGTAGAGGCAGCCTCGTGTGCCATACATAGTGGCGATATACGACAGGCAGTCAAACTCGCAGAGCAGGGTCGTGGTCAGCAATGGTCGCTTGCCTCTCGACTCAGAACTCCAGTTGAAGACCTTGAGTCAGTCAATCCGAAACTGGCACACGATTATTTGGAACTGAGCAAGCACGTTTCCAATGCCGCCCAAGGTTCTGCAATCATCACCGACAGAGTCGCTGCTGATCGGGCAGCAACAGAGTATAGGAGGCTCACAAGGCAATGGGAAGCTGCAGTGACTGAGATACGTAATCTTCGCCCGTTCTCGCGATTCCTACTCCCACCTTCATACGAAGACCTGCAAGCGGCAGCGCGCCAGGGCCCAGTCATCATCCTCATTGCAAGTCAATACTCGTCCAGCGCCATCATCATCCCGACATTAGGAGACCCCCATCATGTTCCCTTGCCGTGTGTCTCTCTCGTAGAGCTGACCAATCTCAAGGATCGCTTCGCCAGGGCAATACGAGACGCATCTAAAATGGGCCCAAAAGTGCCGCGGAACGATCTAATAGTCCTCTTGCGGACAGTATGGGACGCGATCATGCTACCCATCGTCAATGTCCTCCAGCATGGTCTGAAATTACAACTCCACTCTCGAATCTGGCTGTGTCCGACTGCAGCTTTCACGTCTATTCCTCTCCACGCAGCTCACCCCTTTAAAACAAACGCAGATGGCTCGAAAGAGCCATGCCTGGAAGATCTCTATATATGCTCCTACACGCCGACACTTTCGGCTCTGGTCAGGTCTAGACAGATGATGAAGAAGCGCGTCACTCCGTCCTTCGTGACAATCGGACAGAGTAAACCGAGTGCAGGGAAAGGAAAGGCACTGTTGGCTGTCGATAGCGAGCTCGAGCTTGTTCATAAGCTCGTTCCCGCGACTGCCAACTGCACCACTATTTCTGGCGACGCAGCCACACGAGCAGGTGCACTCGAAGCTTTGCAGCAGAACACATGGGTGCACCTCGCTTGTCATGGCAAGCAGGACCGTACGCAGCCTTACAATTCGCATTTCGTCATGAGAGACGAACATCTTACGCTGCTTGATATCATGGACACAGATATTCCGCGCGCGGAGTTCGCGTTCTTATCTGCTTGTCATACTGCCGTCTGTGATGAAGAGACGCCCGACGAAGTGATTCACCTTGCAGCGGGTCTCCAGTTTTCGGGGTTCAAGAGCGTCGTTGGAACGCTATGGGAGGTAGACGATTCTGTTGCAAAACACGTCGTGGAGGCTTTCTATAAGAATATGTGGAGGATGGTGGTGTCATTGACTGTACGAAGGCGGCCTGGGCACTGAACCGTGCTACGCACTCTGTGAAGACGAAAGTACCGCTCGAGCAGAGGATGGTTTTTGTTCATATCGGTGTGTAGTTCTATGTCGTATTGTTGTTGTCTGGTATGTTGTTGATCTGCGATCCTCTTTCATCATCCTGTTGTAAAAATGACCCTGATATATTATTGTGCTCTAGCTATCTCGTTTTCTCATACTCCGTCGTGTTTTTGTCGACTAGAATGTTCACTAAAGTTCTTGTGTACTCGACTCGTTTGTACCTTCGTGTTCTGCTCGACTGCTTTGACTTATGGCCCATCTGTGCACTATTTACATTCAAGAGCATACGATATACTTTGCAGTTTGCAGGACGGGATAATATACCTTACTAATATTGAAGCAGTCAACCATTGCGTTTCGATACCCGCCTTCATGATATCATAGTGGACGAGAAGATATCTAGCATATCGAAACGGTGAGCATATTTCTACCCATCGAGCTAATGATATTGATTTTCTCTCTACGGTACACCGGTTGATGTCGACGTAGTTGACATATAGTCCGTCACTGAGTAAAACCACACCATGCAGCCATACATATCTCTAGACCGGATGTCGTGCCAAGGGTTGGCTATTCGGACATGTATGAGTATGTGCGTGGTGCTATCCGAGCTTGGTTACACACATTTCCCACACGGTTTGATCGCAATCATCGGAATGCATCACGGTGCCGAGTCATCTCAACACCAGAAGAGTGAGCGAAAGATAATGCACTTGGCTTCTGTGACCGTGTTGTCACAGCTTCGATAGCATCAGATGCAAGACATGAGCTGCGGACGATGTGCAGGACGAATTTCTCGAGTGTGAGGTATGCAGTATTTTCGATTTCCTGTCATGGCGATATTCAGTATCGTCAGTCTTCAGTAAGCGACAGGAGAAAGAAAGTACGTACCTCTGATATCTGTTTAATGATTGCTGGGTAGTCCACTTGGTGCATGCCGGATTTCTCGTAGAATGTGATGTTCGTGATCACCTTCTGCTTTGCAAGGCGTTCAGGGGGATTGACGCCAATCAGTACGGGCATGACAAGATCTTTGACAGACACCCTCGCAGCCTGTTGCAAACTGTCTTCGCCTCTGGGTGTAATCACCTCAACCTCAAAGTCGTTCGCAAGTAAAATCTGTTTCGGAAGGCCGATGGCGACGCGCACGGCGTCCACATTCTCTGCGGCCAGAGCGAACACTTTTTGAGTGACCTCATGCACGAGTGCACGAACATCGGTATAAGATGCCGAGAGCGCCGAGACGGCTTTGGTGAGATGCCCATAGTGGATGGAGTCTACGACGTTGTCGGATTGCCCGGATATGTCAAGGAAGGAGGGCTTAAGATGGAGGTGGACGGTGATGGAAACGAGTTGTTCGCGTGGGCGTCCCCAACAATCTGCGCCAATGTTTGCCGTAAGCTGGATGGTGTCGACGAGTACGACATCGGCGGTGGTGGGCAAGGACATTGAGATGGCCGCTCGGGAAATCCCGTCTCACGGTGTCCTACTGACTCCCACAACCTCATCTCGCATCTTTCAGGTGAACCTCAAGCACATGCTCCAGGCAACCTTGGACAGATTCCATTTGTGACCCACTAACAACAGCTTCGTCCAACTCCGAAGTGACACTTGATCGATATTGGTTCGCACAATACTACACGTTGGTGGAGTAGTCCGAGTCAGACATACCATACAACAACGACAGCCTGACTCCGAGGAGCACCAAAAGTTGCGAACAGAAACATTGCTTCCCTAATCTTAACCACCTGCCTGCTGAACTGGTACGCAGCAAACCCAAAGCAGAAAACGAGCCCGCCATCCAGCCTGTCGTATCGTGATATCATGTCTTGTGCCGGCTGCCCCTGCGGTGCTAGCAACTGCGGGAGCCGTGGTGGATGCCGTGGCAGTGGCAGGTGATTGCTGTGATGATGGTGGATTGCTTTGGGTCGCTCCCCCGCTTTGTTGCTGCGTGGGTAGGAGGTTTGGTAGGTCGAGAGGAACTTGCAGAGGGCTTCTTTCTTGCATGATAATTTCGCTGCGTCGAGATGAGACACTGATAAAGAACTTAGAAGTGAAAAACGCACAGGCTTGCCCGCTGTTAACGGCACCTCGACTATTGGTGGTAACCGGACATTTGATCCATCTCGTCTGCGTAGCATACCAGATATGAGATTTTGAGCCCAGCTGAGAGGGGTGGGAGACTGGCGTGGTGCTGCAGTGCTGGGGCCGCGTGATGGCGAGGACTGTTAACATATCGCTCAAAGGAACCGCAGCCTAAAATATAGATGGGGTCACATACATCATTAAAAAACCCTTGAGGTATGCGACGAGGGCCTTCAATTTTCGGGGCTCGTCGTCGTGTAGCATCAGCCTAGGGTGCGCATACTCAAAGTCATGCAGCAGGTCAAGAAAAACATCAAATACATTCAACACTGATTTGTTGACATTATTCTGCGATGACAAAGATTAGTGAGTGCTAAGGTCGGTGAAGAGACTTGACACAACATACCACCTGAAAGATATGTTGTTAGTATGATTGAGAATGAGATGCATCAAAGCTTACATTGTCTGACAGAAGGTTATCGAGACCAGCTTCTTTGATGATAGCAGATACGTCCCATGTGTATATGCGGCCGTCGTCGCAACCAGTGGCGAGGAACTTTCCATCTTCAGAAAATACCACGCCTTTCACCATATCTTCATGGTAGAGGGGTGGTCCGATAAGCTTATCGTTTTCGAGGTCCCATAGGCGTGCTGTTTTCTCGTTCGATACACTTGCGAGGATGCGCCCATTTACAGATAATGAAATATCGTTGATTCTTTTGTGCTTTTCAAAACGAGCAGTTTCGGTCCAGGTAGCAGTGTCGAGCTTCTTGATCAATTCCACTGTCGCCGTAGGAGATAAGCGTCTTTCCATCGGAGATCCATGCCATACATGTAACTTTTCCCTGTATTGTTTTCAGTAGTTCGCCTGTGTTGGCATCCCAGATTTTCAGGTGGAGCCCGCTCGTTGCAATCATCGTACCATCAGGAGAGTAGCGAGGCAACACGGGCGTGTTTGATGTTACCTTGATTGGTCCGAGGATTGTGTCTCTGCTCTTGACATCCCACACTCTCAATGTGTGATCCAAGGATCCGCTCGCAACTCGCCCTCCATCTGGACTCCAGCATACAGACCATACATCTCTTGTGTGGCCTATCCACTTGTTGACGACTTTACCTGTGTCAATATCCCACAATCTCACTGCGCCATCATGACTCCCGCTTGCTACCGTTTTACCATCTGGCGACAATGAGATGGTGCGCATTACTCCACTTCCTTCATCCTTCCAGGCATCCCCAACCTGTGTACCGCTCTCCAAGTCCCAGACTCGGATCGAACCATCTCCCGAACAGGTGAGGATCCGCTGTCGGCGACTGGACAGTCGTAGGATACCAATAACGCTTTTAGTGTGTCCTTGCATCTTTCCGGTAGGCTTTATCACTGGCTCCTCTTGCTTCGCAGTGGCTGTTGAAGGCATGATTTTGGCTTGGGGGGCCTCACCTTATGGGCGCGGGACGATTTCAGCTCTGGCCCATCAAACGAATGCCATCACTCACTCAAAAAGTCGTATTCAGAACAAATTTTAAATTAAACGCATTCAGGGTAAGAGCTGCAGTGGAGTGAACGTTTCATTCGACGCAGTGTTGAATCAGGAGGGAGGTTGCTATTTCAGTCCTCAGGTGCGTCTGTCACGTTGTATCCTCGTGTCTGCTTTTGGTTTGATTCACAGCCGGCACTGCAGATCAAGCGCCCGAAGTCTTGTTTTTTTATAGAACATTCAAGCAAGCTCACATGACGCATGATGCAGTACGAACACCATTAGTTAGTAAGAGATCCTGAAATAATTGAGGGAGGTCGTTGTGACAATTGCATGTGCGAGTGTGGGTAATCGATCGCCATCCTTTTTGAACGCGAGACTCGGAGAACGCTATATATTGTATGTGCGCATGATATGATCCGCTATTTCAACAACAATAAGATTGACGTAATAACAAGTTTCATGCATCGCTTCTGTGCATATGTTCTTGCATCATGGTGCGGCTCATTCATCTTCAATGCGGTCTACTTTGCGGCCATTTTGATTCCAACAAACACGTCACCAACTTCCAGCTCTGATCCTTTGACTCGCAATCTTTCTTTGGGCCTTGATTACATGCTTTCTCACCACAAGCACAGATGAACGATTTTCGATTAGCCATGCAAGTATTTCTTTGTAGTGCCGAAAGTGGGTCGTCGCAGGTCGATCTACTTGCTAACTCTATTCCTTACTATGTACAACACGTCATTCAAGTCTACCGTGACAACGACAGCCATGCTGGCAGTGGCTAGTGGTAGCAAACAAGAAGTGATATTATACGCGACTGACCATATTTGTCTTTCATGATATAGCAGGAGATACTAATGTGATATTTCTGCATCCCTAATATCAACCACCTGTGTTCTGAGTAGGCACGCAACAAACCCAGAGCAGAAAACGAGCCCGCCATCCCGCTCGTTTTATGGTGATGTCAGGATGCGAGGTTCCAGCTGCCGTTGCAGTACCAGTAACCGCGGGAGGCGTCGTGGATGACGTGGCAGGTGGTTGCTGTGATGACGGCAGATTACTTTGGGTCGCTCCGCCGTTTTGTTGCTGCGTGGTAGAAGGTTTGGGAGGCCGAGAGGAGCTCGCAGAGGGCTTCTTTCTTGCATGATAATTCCTCTGTTAAAATTTGTTAGTGATAAAGAATCTATAAAGGAACAAACGTACCGGTTTGCCCGCTGTTAACGGGACCTTAACTACTGGTGGCAACCGGATAGCCGATCCATCTCGTCTGCGCAGCATTCCAGAGATGAAATTTCGAGCCAGGGTGAAAGGGTTGCGGGAGGATAAGCGACCGGGCTGGGTAGACTCGCGTGGCGCTGCAGTATGGTGATCGTGTGATGTTGACGACTGTCAATATATTGGTCAATAGGACTGATCGATTATAGACAGAGGTCACGCACATTAACACGAGGTTGTACGTCGTCAAAAAACCCTTGTGGCACCCGACGAACACCCTCAATTTTCGGTGCTCGTCGTTGTGTAGCATTAACCTAGGATATAGATACCCAAAGTTATATAAAATGTCAAGAAACACATAACATACATCTATGAATGGCTTGTCGACTGCCTTCTGTGATGAACGAAGGACATCCCATGTGTATATACGGCCAGAGCCGCAGCCAGTCACGAGGAAGTTACCATCTGCAGCAAACATGACGCTGGACACCTCGTCTTCATCTTCGTGGAGAAGGGGTGGTCCGATGGGCTGATGGTTTTGAAGGTTCCATAGTTGTATTGTGTTCTTGTCAGCTGTCGGTATGCTTGCAAGGATGCGTTCATTCGGAGATAAGACAGTCTCCGAGTCCATTGAGGAACCTGCAAGCCATTCGTCGTTGATTTCAGTCCAGGTGGCAGTGTCGAACCTCCTCGTCCCGATCATAAGCGTGTTTCCATCCGATGTCCATGCCATGCCTCCAACGCGGGCCCCAGTGAATGTTTTGAGCAGTTTGCCTGTGTTGGCATCCCAGACTGTCCGAGTCAGCTCTGGTGGTGCGAATCCTTGACGTTGAATGGAAATCATCTCGCCATCAGTTGAGTAGCGAATACTGGTTATCATCTGCTCAACATTGATTGGTCCGAGGATGGTCTTTCCGCTCTGAACATTCCACACTCTGAACGTCCCATCCAGGAATCCGCTCCCCAATCGCCCTCCGTCTGGACTCCAGCAAACAGACGTCACCATGAGTGGGTCCGAGTCACTAGCAGCTATGTTCCTTGTCAATTTTCTGACGATCTTTCTCCCGTTTATGTCCCACAATCTCACTATACCATCCATACACCCGCATGCGACTGTCTTGCCGTTTGGCGACAACGCTATGGCACATATTCCCTCATTATTTCCTTCGTCCTTCCACTCCCCGACATGCATGCCGCTCTCCAAGTCCCAGACTCGAAGTGAGCTAGATTCGATTGAACAGGTGATGATCTGCCGTGTATTGGGTAGCCCTATGACGCCATTCACGGGTTGAGTGTTTCTTTCAAGATGCATCTTGTGGCGAGGTTTCACCGCTGATTTCTCGTGTTTTGCGATGGCTGGTGAGGACATGATGTTGACTTGGGGATGGCTTCAACTAATGGTTCAGGGCGTTTAAATTATCCTCACATGAATGCTATCACTTACTTGGAGGTACTTGTTTCGCACACAGAACGAATGCGGAATGAAAGGTGCAACGAAGTGAACCTTTTCTCGACACAGGTGACGAAGTTGACACAGAGTTGAGCCAGGAGGGAGGTAGCTATTTAGAGCCAGTTCGGTAACCCAAGGTAAGGTGAGTTTGCCACCTTGAAACGATTATATAATGTCGGCGTTGTAGATGCCGATGACTGAGTCTCAATTGAATATCAGTAGTACTAGACTCGTTATCAATGATCTATCAGACCATTGCTCACTGTATTGATGGATGCCATCAACCCATTAATCCAACAGCTGACTCTGGCTCAGGCTGCTCAGCCGCCAGGCGGTCGGGCATCCAAGCGAGATCACGCACGAGTTCTCCAACATATTGCACTGGTTGTCAGCGTCCTTCTTACTGCTACAGAGTCCTTGCTAGAAGACTCTATACCCGAGCCATATCACACATCGGCCCTCTCAGGTCAAGGGTGGGTCATGGAGCTCATTTTGGGCCACCCAGAGCGTATGCGCTGTGAACTTGGGATGCACACAGATGTATTTCACTCGCTTATAGCGGAACTTCACACCTTGGGTCATGCAAATTCGCGCTATGTTTCCCTCGAAGAACAACTCGCCATCTTCCTATACACGTGTGTTACAGGACTGACCGTCCGCCATGTTGGTGAGCGCTTTCAACGGTCTAATGATACCATCTCAAAGTAAGTCAATTGTTATTGTTATATATGATACTAATGAGCTCACACTTAATTGTAGATATTTCCGCAAGATGTTGACCATTTTCGCATCTCCCCCATTCTACACCAATCATGTACGCTCTCCTGACGACACCTACCACACCCCACACAAGATCCGTAATGACCCTAAGCTCTGGCCCTATTTTAAGGACACTGTTGGCGCGATTGACGGTAGTCACATCCATGCTCACCCCCCATCATTTGATCGTCCTGCATATCGGAATCGTAAAGGATTCCTTTCGCAAAATTGTCTCTTCGCCTGCGACTTCGACCTCACATTCTCTTACGCTCTCACTGGCTGGGAGGGATCCGTTACAGATGCACGCCTTTATGATGAGGCTCGTTCAGGTGGCTTGTATATCCCTCCCAGCAAGTATTTTCTGGCAGATGCGGGGTTCCCTTTGTGTCACGAGCTCTTAGTGCCCTACCGCAGTGTCCGGTATCATCTAGCTGAGTGGGGGCGTGCTAATACCAGGTATGTTTTATTTCTTTTTACTTGAAGCTTCCTAATATCTATTCTATGTTTGCAGACCAGTCAATAAAGAAGAGTTATTCAATTTGCGACACGCATCTGCTCGAAATGTGATCGAGCGCATCTTTGGCGTGTTAAAACGCCGTTTTCGCATTCTCTTACTGTCACCTGAGTATCCTATGACCATCCAGGCACGTATACCTGCCGCGTTATGCGCGATTCACAACTTTATATGCGCCCACAAACCTGATGAAGGAGAGTACGCGGATGACGATGAACACTTCGATTATGATAACCCTGAGCACCAAGGGATCCCTCAAGACGAGGAGGAGTTTGAAGAGGATGGAAGCATGAAGGAAGCGCGTGAACGTATCGCGCGCTGCATGTGGGAGGATTATCAAGGCATTTTGCAGCAGCGGGGTTCGTCAGACGATTCCTTTGATGACAGCGACAACGAGATGTAGTAGCACATACAATTCATTCATTTATTCATGCAACTAGTAAGACAATTGTACCGCTAAGAATTGGACCCAGGAGGCAGTATCATAGGTTGGATTCCCAACCGCTGGGCCGTTGAGATAATGAAAGCATGGCGCATCTCCTTGTCAGTGGTTTGTGTATATATGTCAGTAGCTGCAGGGTCCATAGCAAAAACTTGTTGCATCATAAGCCGCTCCGTGAATGGCAAGTCAGCATCATCAACCTGCAACATCTGCATGGCCCTTGAGCGCTGGTCCATCACCCGATCCTCGGGATAGACCATGCGCTCAGAAATCACATCCGTTAGGCGGTTAACGGAGCTCTGGAACCCCATCACAGCTACGGCAGTGGTGGTCTTCGACATCTTGACATCCGCTGTACCACTACCCCCAGTGGCACCGCTCCGAGTCTGTGCACGGCCTGATGTTGTCTTTGCTCTTTTGAGAGAGCCTGGCTTAGAGGGAGGCAGCGGCATCTGAGGGTCTTCGTCTCGCATAGAAACCGAGGTAGAAGGAAGTGAGGTAGTCGACTCTTGAACCATGTCAGAGTGAGAGCGTTTGGAGCTAGGCCGAGATACTAAGGATGTGGAAAGGGTGTTATTGCTGTCAATAGAGGCGGGACATCGAGAAGTAGGAATAGAAGTAGGGGCAACTACTGCAGGGGTGGCGCTGGGACCAGCAGGAGCGGCACTGACACTAGAAGTAGCAATGGTGGCGCCCATGGTATGATTTTCAGCTGCTGGTATGCTAGCGCTGGAGCTTGAGCTTAAGGGAGGGGGAGCTGTATGCGGTTGGTACCCGGTACGCCCTCGCGCGCCACTGTTTTTTGGTATGATATCATCCATTTGCTCAAAGTATCTCCATCCCGATACACGAAAAGGGCGCATGTGCGAATTTCCCTAGATATAAAACAGTAAGCTACCAGTACAAAATGTAGATGACACTGTGAACCGGACATACCTTCTTTGTAATATATTCGTTCCATACCGTGGTTGCACCCTCGCTCGTGATATTGGCTCCTCTGACATTATCCCAGTGGACACCAGACGTCTGGCGATACTTCTGAATAGCGTTATAGATCTGTTTTAACTATACAATATCTAATCAGTCTATATCTAAGCGATATATTGGTATATGACTTACTGCTCCCCATTTCGTCTTGCACATCGTTCCAGTCTTCTGTGGACCCTGCTGCAGGTGCGCAGCAATAGCCTCTGCAGCACCATTGTATGTTACATCTTTGAAGTTACCGGTGTCAGCGACCTTCTCCCGATTGTCGTACAGGTATTGGACAAGCTGATCAGTCTCTGTGTCAGTCCAGACCGCCCTGTCTGCATGAGATGATTGCTGAGCCATAGAAAGAATGTGGACTTGAGCAGATAACACTATAGACACGACACTAGCCCAGATGTCGTTCCGATCTCGTAGATCTTTAGTCGTATACCGAGGTATGCATGCAGACATGTCAAAGGGAAGTTCAAGCTCCGTCATCGGGCTTCAAACCGGGACCACCATGCCGACATTATATAATCGTTTCAAGGTGGCAAACTCACCTTACCTTGGGTTACCGAACTGGCTCTTACGTCCTCTATCACAGTCTTCCTTCAAGAACTGAGCGCTGAGCACGGGCCGTGCAGATCAAGCGCCCAAGTATTCTCACGATATGCGCAACTTCTTATTGACACCCCAGCTATGAAGCAAATCCTTATTCCTCTGTTTCATAATTGGCTTAATACGATTTTCCGGTCTCGATCTCTGCCCCCGCGCTACATATCCGTTCAGAGTCGAATAGGATGGCCAGATGCTTCGCGTTTTCTCCGACCTTGTTCGCAGCGTCCCCGGGCCACTCTACATAGTTCTTTATCATGGTTGCCCTGATAGCAGCATGGAATTCCTGACCATCCTGCTCCGTGATTCATGCTAATCACCATGGTCTCTGTCTCTGATGAATCGCTGGCTACGCTATTGTCAAAGAACTGAGTGAGCTCTACCGTACTGGCTGGGTCGTTGCTTAGGTTCGTACGCGCTTCTGTCCCAACGGCCATAGGAGATCTCATGCAGAAGCCGTGCAAGTGCAGGTGACAAGGCCAGGGTCGTTTATGCGTCAGTCGATAGTTATCATACTTCGAACGTTGACGACCCAGCGGATGATCTAGAACTTCAAGACTCATCGGCATCCACCAACAAGTATCTCCCTCGCTGAACAAACCAGCGTGGGGAGGTGTCTCAGCTTCTCCCAATCTCAGCATAGTGTATTTGACTGACACACAATGGCTACGAAGATGGTAAGAAATCATATTGTCTTGAATGCTTGCGAATTCGCAAGCCTGCACACAGTTCAAGACATTGTTTGTCTTCGTTTATGGCAGTATGTCGTGTATTGTTTCCTTGTGTGGTATACGTTCCCACCCCAAGCACTAACTTCCGATCAGGTTCGTATCGCAAACTTTCAGATAAGCCTACCTGTCGCAATTGTCATACCACTTGGTATGTAGCAAATCTCCCACACGCCGCAGTGGGTTTCTACCTTGTTTCTGGCGCTTTTCATATGACGCTAATCATCATCGTCCCCTCAGAACTTTTTCGTGTATTTGCATGCTTTGGATTGCGCGCTGATCAGGTCACTGCCGGGTCAAGTCCACCCTAGCCCAGTATCGCCCTGACTTCGAGTCCAAGATCAAGTCGGTAGTCCAAGTCATATCTCACAACAAAAGCGGTTTCTGTCCCGCGCACGAACAAAGCGAACAAAATCACCGTAAATCATAGTGATATCATTTCCTGTGGCGGTGCTGTCCATTTTCATATTATGGCTACGTGGCAGCTAAATACGCAACATTGTTTGGCATTGAGGTCGAAGGAATGTAGTGTTTTAATTGGCAAGAGAGGTCCCTCTGCTCGGGTCCCGTCATGATGTACCGTATCCCGCGTCATCAATTGCTCCAGCCTGGGCCAGGCTCGTCAAACACTGTTAATTGCACCAGCTCGTCTTGGCATCGTACCACATATGTAAACGAAGATCTGCCAAGAGTCCTAGTATAAAGGACTGAAGAAGCTGTGCATACGTGCTTCTCTGAAAGATAGCCCCACAATTCGTCACTGGTCATCTAGTTCATGGCTTTGAGCACTATTGCCGAAGAAGCGAGCTCCAAGGACGATGACTGCGTCCAGACTGTCGATGTAAACTCCCCAGAACCACAGATGAAGCCTTACCAGAGGACATTCAATAGCCCCGCCGTACGTATTCCATGCTTTACTCAGTAGTATGTCCACATCATTAAATTGTCACCCAGGCAATTTTGGGCTTGATATCCTTGGGTACTGTCTTCTTGTCCTTGTCGATACCGACGCTCGCCTTCGGGAGCGTCGACCCACCCAGCTTGATTGTGGTGATTGCCACCTTGTCAGTTTCAATATACACAAACGATCCTAATTTTGACATGGTCATTTCCAGCTACGGCGGCATCGCGCAAACGATTGTGGCCGTGTGGGAGATGTCCCTTGGGTAAGTTTCCAATATCTGTATAGAGGGAGCTACCGCCGATTTTTTCGTAGCAACACTTTCAGCGCAACGGTTTTTGCTACCTACGGAGGTTTCGACTTCGTATACAGTGCTTTCTGTTTACCTCGAATCGCCCTTGCGTATGTTGTCAATAAGCTTTGTTACATCTCCTCCCTAATGTAACCGCAGGGCTGCAGACACCGTTGACGGGGTCGTCAGACAGCAGTTGTACAACGCCATCGGCATCTACCTCGCCATCTGGAGCTCGATTACATTCCTTCTCCTGTGAGTCCGAGGTGATATACTGTGTGGTCATATTTCTAACAATATTCATAGCCTTGGTGCACTTCAAACCAATATACCCTACGTTGTAACGCACGCATGTATTGTTTGCGCGCTCGCTTGTCTTTCCTTGAACGCTTTTACTGGTACGTTTTCATCCGTCTAGTTATGTTTATCTGACGTCCACGCAGGCCACCTGCATTTGGCAATTGCAGGTGGTGTCCTGGGTATCATCGCTTCCTTCAGCGCATACTACAGCGCATTTTCGTTCTTCTGGACACAGCACACCTCGTTCAGATTCATTCACTTCCCTCTCATGATGGCTCCTTTCAACGTCTAAGCGCTAGAGTCCTCTCTTCTCTTGTACGATTTTGATATTGTCCTCAACTTGCACTGGATTTGCTGTTGAGGATAATGGTGGGAGATGAAAAGTACGGTCCTCAGATTATTGAATCGATCAGTTTTTGTACTAGTATATTGGCTACACTCTCATATGGAAAGCACGGATGTCGGAGCCGCAGTTTTGCTCGGGCACTTACCCCGAATCTGGCAAATGTTAATCAAAAAGTTGTCATTTCTCAGAGACTTATTAAATAATTAATTCACAGATCCGAAATGAATGCTCTAACGGACGAACATTTGTTCGAAGTGTTGAGCCTAAGTTGAATCAGGAGGTCGCTATCTAAGTTCACGTCGCACGGGCTGTACAGATAAGCGCCCCAGGTCTCGTTTCGTACGTGCTCAAAAATCGGATCCAACTTGTTGTCGCACTGAGGGCTTCAAACCTCTACCATATAGGAAGCCATGATGTTTTTGCCTCTGCTCGGGAGGGCCAAAATGACATTTGACTTTTCCCAACATTCGTCACCGAACGCTCACCGAACGATGCGACATGCTCGATGTCACCGTGACAATCCGACGCCCTCAGGCTTCCAGCTGTTGACTTGCACTCTACTGACGTGTTTATGGCATAGTGAGCCTTTTGGTTATGTGGCGTTTGGTGGCGAAGTCGCTTCGGACAATTTGATTTTGCCTCCGGTTGGGTTCTATTTGAACTTGCGCACTGAAGTTAGGACTTCTTTTATCATCATTTGCCTATTCACCTTTGCTCGTCCGACAGATCTATGACATGCTCCAACCCAGACTTTACAATATTGAAGACAGATGACACCATTCCTTCTGGCTGCTCCTGAGTGGGGCTTACTTTGATGTCTAACACTTCGCCTTGCCCTATAAAAGTGAATAGAAAATCTCGAGACTCCCATCATCTCAGGTTACACGAGATATCTGCATCAAACAGCTCCTCTACAATGAAGTTTACTCTAATTGTCACTCTTCTCTCTGCCTTCGCCATCCCAGTGTTCGCAGACTCCGTTTTTGTCGTACCGAACGCCAATTACAGCAACCCCAATACGTCCCTTTCTACCGTCACCTGCTCAAATTTGGCACTGCGTTACGCCAACTTCTCCTCCCTGCCTTCCTTCCCCAACATCGGAGGTATCCCAGGTCCCGCCTCGAACCTCTCCTTATGCGGCTCCTGCTGGAGCCTCACGCCCGCCCCACCCTGCAGCGGTCTAAATCCCCTCTACTTCACCGTTATTGATGACGATTCCAATTGCGCCGTTGACGCTGCCAAAGACGTTGACACTACTGTATACGCTATCTCCCAGCAAGCGTACAGCAACTTGACTCACGCTTCCTGCAATGTGGACGCTGTTTATGCTGAAGCCACTCAGGTCCATGCAAGTATGTGTGGCATGTAGAGGCGAGTGTGTTTCATCCTTTTTTTTCTGTAACACTAGAGCTCTGACCCGATGTTTAGCCCGTATGAGCTGTTGTACTGGATGGTAATGAGACTGGGAACGTGCTGATACCATCGGGGAAGATCTACATAGAGTTTTTTTTGGTTCTTGAGTGGGGGTTGCCATATGTTGTGGTTGGAAAGCGCGGTGGGATTTTTTGGGGAGTTTTACAGATCGTCTGTATTTGTCATACTTGATAGTGCCGGTAGAAATCAAACGCACCATCAATTTCGTTTCCTGTATTTCAATCATACTGGGATACACTCCGGGAAAGACCGACAGCAATCAGTTCGCATAACCGTATTGCACGCGACTTTGGACATCAAATTGTAGTGCTACGTTTTGAACTACTTCTATGGTACCAGCACACCCAAGGCAACTTATTCATTCCGCTGAGGGCAGTAGTTGAAATATCAATTGTCTACCTGTATGATGCAGACTTGTCATGCAAGAATTTGCTAGATCTAGACAAAAAGGATGAAACAGCGAGCCGAGAGGGTAACGTTAGGTCATTGATACTCATCTCAGGAGGACTATCGAGATGTTGAAATCGGGCCCACGGAAAACTTGGAGAAACCGACATATTTGGCTCAATCAAAAGGACCAATTTCGTATACCATCCGGCGATACTCCCACTGAGCAACATGGACGAAGAACTGAAATGGCGACACCAAAGAAGTGGATAGCGCTGTACACATACATAATCGTAATACACCATGTCATACAAAGTAGGGCATTGTATTCTGCAGATAAATCGTCAGCATGTATTCCGATAGCTTTCTGGGGAGCGAGCATCTACCCACCATCTTTTTTGTTTGCATCCCCTTATCTCTCTCGTTCTCGGGGGCAGCATCATAAACAGTAAAATCTCTACTTCCATCCTCCTTTATTGTTAGTATTGACGCCATGTTACCGCATCGGTAGCAGTAATTTGGTGCAGACCACACGGTAACGAGTTGGTCATCAAACATGTATTTGTACCCTTCTTGCACGAGCTGATGTGCACGAGCAATGAGACTCAACGAGTTAACATGATTGAACTGAGGAAGGTCAGGGCGACATTTGGATTGTATGAATAGATGGACGAACCTCTCGCGTCACAGTTCTACCAAATAGCCAACCAGCTCCGCGTGGACTGACAGCCCAAGTGTCGATGTCTTCCGGATCAGACCACATGAGGTCTGCAAAGGTAAATCAGGAGGAGCCGAGTGAACATTAATAAGTTCTCACCACAGAAGGCACCTTCATGAGGGATTTCCTGGGCACGCGAGAGGACACGAATTTGATCTAGAGTTCGAATGTCTGGTGATAGGCCACCATGCACGCACAAAGTCTCTCCATCTATTATCTATAGAAGATTTGAGCGTTTCCAGGACATATTGAAGCGAAACTTACAGCAGCAAGATTGAGAAAATCGAATACACTACAACATGCCTTCCAAACAGCAGCACTACCGTACTTTTGCTGGCACTCATCTATGCAACATATTGTCAGTACAAACAGAAAAGTAGCACTGCGCCGACGAGCATCACCATAAAATCCATACACCTGTGTGATTTGTCTACTTTCATGGTTTCCACGGAGGAGAGTGACTTTATCTGGGTATCTAAAAAGATTCAATACAGATACAACGATTGGCTATCGGTGACAATACCGAGCTTTCAGCGCCAACAGTAAGGACACAGTCTCCAAACTATAATGCCCTCGATCAACAAAGTCACCCTGATCGACATTAAGCATGTTCAACCCTCGAATCAAAAGCACACATACGTGCCATAAAAATATAACTCGTCTCTGGGACCTGTCCACCCTTTCGTAGCAGTTCGAGTAAGTCCCAGAACTGACCGTGAATGTCGCCGCAAATGGTGACTGGACTTGAAACGGGTTGGATATTCGACTCTTCCATGAGTATAGCGCGAACACGGTCGCAGAGGACTTTCATATCGGGTTCTGGGAGGTGGCGACATTCCATGAGTTGGTCTATCCATTTGTCGGGGTTATAAGAGGGCATGTCGATAATACGGGAATATTAGAGCTGAGTTATTGTCGTGTTTGACTCGGTGTGCTGTAGAATATATTAGCTGAAGGATCATGCGGGAGGTTTAGGCGCTCATCGAGTAACTGGAGGGGGTCGTGAGAAAGTAAGTACTAACCTGCTAGTGCAAGCCTGAGTAAATTACTGCAAGGTAGACTGTAGTACAACACATATACGTCCCAGGCCTACATACGTGCTCTCACCACTTATTACCCTCTGGCGACACCAAAATCCATCGGTCTACGCGAATTTGAAACATTTCTTCCATGCGCTGCCTGCGCCAGCTCTTTCTCGTTTCGCTGGGTGTCACAGCATGGGCTCTACACGAATCTGACGTGGGTGTGGTGGATTGGAATACGAAATTGATCGGTGTACCGCTGCAAGGCTCTTCACATACTGCACCTGCATTCCACGGTGATTATATTCTGACTGCTACGAGCAACAATGTATTGGCAGCATTGAACGCCACGGATGGCTCTATAGGTGTGCATGTGTGTCCTGACATTCTGACTCTGGCTTCACTAACGTGTCTTCAGTATGGAGAAGTATATATGATGCGGAGGATCCGATAATGGCCTTCACCCACCATGATAATAGTGCGTCATAATGCCAATTTCAAGTGCATCCATGGGTTAAATATGGTACTAGGCGTATCTTCTCTATCTGGACCGGGAGGGTCAACTTTGCGCACGTACGACCTGGAAACTGGCCATCTCATATTGGAGAAACAACTACACAGCCCGGTTGATGGACGACTCCACGAACCTCAAAATCTCGGAATTTTGCTATTGCGCCCTACTGACCCCTCCCTCAACTCAACGGCATATTTCGCACTGACAAATGGAGACTCTGTCACCCATCTGGACGAGACTGGGGACATTCTGTGGACTTGGAAATCTCCCGATCAAGGGTGTGTCTTCTTCGTATTATTCGGTCTTCACTTCATTGATACCAGTTAATCAGGTCCTTGATCTTGTATTCTCATATCATTGTTGATCCGTCAACGGTGTATCTCGTGGGGTTCGCGAAATCATTTGCATCCTACACTTTGCACGTAACGACCCTGTCAGTAACCACGGGCAAACTCATTGCGTCTGCCAACATTCCTGCCAACATAAAAGATGAACGATCCAAATTCGTTGCTGTTAGCTCCCAGACAGGACCTACAACTACTGCCTGCGTCAACTGGCTTGAAGGTGATACACTTAAAGCTGCTGTATTAACGCCTGATTTGAAGGGTCAAATTATGGCTCTTCCTGGCGTCAAATACGATAGGATTAGTGATTTCGGCCTTTCGGCCAACGGACAATTCCTCGCAATCAAGGAAGGAGGTGTTGCGCACGTTATGCATTTTGACGCACAGGCATCCTCACTTCGACCAATCTGGGAATTCGCTGACGCGGTGTGTTTCATATTTCATGCCTGTACCACGATTTACTGAGGGTTACCCCAGGCCCCTTCGCAGGCGCAATCGGATTCTCATTTCGTAGGAAGTCTTAGCCGAGATGGCCAACCCCGAGTTGCGCGCGTTTATTGGTCGAACGTTCACAATGTAAGACCCTTTTGTATCTGCTAGGGTTTCTTATGCAACTAGAAATTTAGAAAGCCATCCACCAAACTCTTGCCATTCATTTGTCTGAGGGCAAGGCTTCATCCTCTGGTTATGCGTTTCCCTTCCAGACGCTTGACCATGGTGTCATCGGGCATGTGAGTCCACTCTACAATTATTCCTGGGTCAAATCTTATTTAGACACTAGGTGGCATTCGATGGCTCAAGCACGGGCGAAACGCATGAAAATACTCGCACGTTGCTGACCACCACGACAGGCTCGATACAGCTTTGGCAACATGACAAAATGCAGTGGGTTCGGGAAGAAGCACTGGCATCCATCCAAGTCGCAGAGTTCATAGAACTTCCTGAGAAGAAGGTTGTCATGTCCCATGCTGCTGTGGATGAGGAAGGTTACTTTGAGCGGCTTCAACGTCAATTATCTGACGTCAAGGTACAAGGTTCGCGTATACTGAAGTCGCTCGTGCTAAATGGTTTTTCAAGAACCTTCCTCAATACTTGGCAAACTTTGCTAGACGCTTTGCGACTGGCTCATATGCTACTGTGACTACGTCGGCTGCATCTTCCTCGGATGAGGATACGCTCACGCGCGACGCTTTCGGCTTCCGACAGATCATAGTGGCAGCTACATCGTATGGGAAAATCTTCGGCATTGACTCCAGCAATGGTCGAGTCTTATGGAGCCGCGTGCTTGGCCTTGGTTGGGCAGCAAAGGTTGGCGGGATAATAATCCCTACCAAAATTTTCGTCACACGGACAGTGAGCGATCCAGAAGGACCTCAAATAGTGCTCGTCACACAACGTCGGGCTGACAATGTGAGCCACATTCTCGTTCCATCCAAGATTTATGTTGACGCGTCTCAGTCTCTTGTTGACACCGTGCTATTCCATGTGAATGCACTTACGGGAGACGACGTCAGAGAGGAGCACCAGTCTATTCCTAGAGCTGCCTTGCAAGGCCTCGATGCTGTCATGGGTCCGTTAGTCGATGTTTTCATGCTTCCCAGCGAGAACCGGACCATAGTCATGCTCGATGAATACCTCCAGGTGTGTTGTGTTCCTTTGCTTAAATCTGCAGGTCTAACGGTCAATAGGCGCGCCTTTATCCAGAAACTCCATCGGCTCAGGCTGAGTTTGAATCATTCGTCCCGTCCATACATCTCGCTCTCCGCGCGGATGTTCCTGGCCAGCGCCAGATCTTGGGCCATCAACTCGCCCTCAATCTCGAGCTGTCACAGTTCTATGTTGCCTATCCAACATGGACACTTGCGCTGCCACCAAAAGAGGAAATTCAGGCCATTATTCCGAACACACGCGGTCCCGTTGCATCGATTGGAAAGGTCCTCGGAAACCGTATGACGTTATACAAGTATCTCAACCCCCACTTGACGTTGGTCCTCACGTCTTTCCTACCGTCCAGCACGTGTGGGATATATGTGTTGGACGTGATCAAAGGTAGTGTGATTTACCATGCCAGTGTCCCTGCTGCTGGTGGCGTATGCGACACGCAAGCGACCCTCACTGAGAACTGGCTGGTATACCATTACTTTGACGACGAGTTTTCTGGGACTGGGCAGAGCAAAGGATATAGAGTCGTCTCTGTTGAGTTTTACGAGGGTGATGGACCAGATGACAAGACAAAAAGGTTGGTCTTTTACCGGTGGATTTCAGGAATAAGACTGACATTTTGACACAGCTCTGAGCTTTCATCGTATTCCAACAAGACGTTGCATATCAGCGCATATGAACAATCCTTTATCATGCCTCACGGCATCACTGCTATATCGCCAACCTCGACGAAGTTTGGAGTATCAACGAAGGACATCATAGGTATGATTAACTTGTGACCGAGCGATCCTTTTTTAATGGTGATTGCGCAGTTGCAAATCGCAAGAACAGCATTCAGTCGATTCCTCGGCGATTGCTCAATCCAAGACGACCCAAGCACAAGCCTACTAGCGAAGAGCAGGAGGAGATGCTTGTACAGTATGATGCTGTACTGCCGGACGATGCCCGACTCGTACTCTCACACAACTACGAGGTTTGTTGCCCGCCTTTGAGGTCCTCGAAGCACACAATATTCACGCAATTTACAGATCGCAAACGTCCGCCGCATCGTTACCTCTCCATCTCTTCTAGAGTCCACATCGCTGGTCTTTGTCTACGGCCTGGACCTCTTCTTCACGCGCATCTCGCCTTCGGGCACGTTTGACGTTCTCAGTGAGAATTTCAATAAAGTGCAGCTTGTGCTGACGGTTGCTGGGCTGGGGATTGCGATTATGGTGACGAAGCCCTATGGTGACGACGGAAACGGCTGCGCGAGCGTTGGTACCAGTGACTTGTCAGTAAATATTGCATCTGTTCCGAAATACAAGATCGTGTGGACAGGTGGCCATGTATATTTTGAGTATGCAACAGATGCACCAATCATAACATCATTACAGGGGCTTTGGGCTCGTGTGCACAATAGAACTGTACATCCACGCATTGTGACATTTTTTCAGCCCTGTTCGGGGAGCATCAGTCTGCAGGTTTCGATCTAAGCTCCCGCACACTGATCAGAGATAATTTTTTCTATATATATCGAACAAGGAAGCATGTACAGTCCACTTCACAGCGAGCAGCGTAGCGAACGCAGAAGGTGGGGCGTTGTTTTATACTATTGCAAGTTGCAAGCCTTCGTCATTGGTGATTCACGGAGGGTAACGCGAATAGCGTCATTGTTTAAGATCGCCAGCTATCAAATCAATCTATAAACTAAACTTGGAACGTGAACTAAGTTATAATGTTGTACAATGTATTACATCAGTATTGTATTTGACATCACAAATCAATTCTTAGGATAAGATCATCGATCGCAAGGCCTAGAAGTATCAATTTTAGTGATTGCAAGTGAGGCTAATGGCTAGGAACTCACTCATCTCGGCACTTCTGCCAGGATTGTCCATGTTCCATGCGGCTCAAATCAACCTCAGTCAGTTGTCTGTCCATCACCAATGTAGTCCGAGGAGCATAAAACGAATGCCGAGAGGTGGAAGGCACCCAGAAAAGAAGCCGATGGTTGGGTCCTACCATCCATCCATCAGTGCCCAGAGAAAAGGAGGTCGAGATATCATCATGATAGGAGGCGCCATCCATTAACTCAGCCGGATTGCGCAGAGCGTGGTTCGGGTCCAATGAAAAGCAAATGGAGCGGTTGTTCCAAGTGTTGGTTGAAATGATGTTGTCATTCGTGGCACGCATAGTGTAACTTCCATCAGAAGATGACGTTGAATAATCCTGCTTGGGGTACTCCTGCAATGGCTGCAAAATAGCTGCTTGCCACAGTCGGACAGTATCATCCACCGAACTAGACACAATACGTGTCCCGTCTGGCGAAAACGAGGCTGACCCAACTCCACCAGTGTGCCCCTGGAAAGGCTCACCAATTGGCTTCCCCGTCGCTGCCTCCCACAGTCGGACAGTGTTATCTGATGAACCGGACACAATGCGGGTCCCATTCGGCGAGAACGAGACTGTGTTAACCCAAGCAGTGTGCCCCTGCAAGGGCTCGCCGATTGGCTGCCCCGATGCGGCATCCCACAGCCGGACGGTTTTGTCGTACGAACCGGAGGTGATGCGAGTCCCACCTGGCGAAAATGAGACTGAGGTAACGGCACCCGTGTGCCCCCGCAGGGGCTCACAAACTTGCTGTCCCGTCGCTGCATCCCACAACCGAACTGTCTGATCGTCTGAACCAGACACGATATGAACGGAATCCGGTGAAAATGAGGCTGAGTTAATCCAAGCTGTGTGCCCCTGCAAGGGCTCACCAATTGACTTCCCCGTCGCTGCCTCCCACAGTCGGATAGTGTTATCCGATGAACCAGACACAATGCGGGGTCCCATTCGGCGAGAACGAGACTGAGTTCACCCAAGCAGTATGCCCCTGCAAGGGCTCACCGACTGGCTGCCCTGATGCGGCATCCCATAGCCGGATGGTCTTGTCATATGAACCGGAGGCGATGCGAGTCCCGTCCGGTGAGAACGATACTGATTTGACGGCACCAGTGTGCCCCCGCAGGGGCTCACAAACTGGCTGTCCCGTCGCTGCATCCCACAACCGAACAGTCTTATCCGCCGAACCAGTCACGATGCGAGTCCCATCAGGAGAGAACGAGACTGATAACACCTTATCCGCGTACTCTCCGAGCAGGCTCTGAACAG